TTTATTACTTCCTACTTTCACGGGGACCAATGCCAACCTTCTTTTTTCTGCTTTGTTGTTTGTCATCTCACATCCAATGTACAACGACCTTCTGCCTTACCTATGGTTGGTTGTAACATGTTAACCTCATTTTTTTATTGGGATAGTGGCTAGAAAGTAGCTGTGCCAAGATAAGCAGCTTTTTAAGCCGTGAAATGATTCAGTCAACACAGAAATGCAACATGTGGCTTCTTTAATTTGCTTTTCTCCAGCTTCTGTTGACTCAGCCTATAACCCACATGTCTAGAAGTGCCCTTAACGTCTAAGGAGACCTAGGTGGTTTAGCTTCACAAAACATGTTTAATGACCTTAGTGCGTGTGATTCACCATTCTGCAGTCTTGTCTTACCCAGAAAACTGTTATGTCAGTCCTAGACAAAGCTGACTTACAATGGGGGTTTGACCCTATAATGGTTAACAGTGTTACTAACTGGATGTTGACATCTACATGTTCATTGCACAGTCCAGAAGCCCTGGTGAATTCAGAAAACTTAAAGAAACTGTCACAACAGGATTTGGGGGATGGAGATGCTCCATAAGAACAGGAAAAAATAAGCTGCCCTTTCTTTTCAAAGAAATGCTTTCAAATGATCTAGATCTTTTATACCACACAACTTCATTATAGGTAGAGGTAGGTTTGTCACCTTAAAGTTGAGCATCATTTTTGGTATTGTTTTCAGTTGCTTATTCCTGTACCAAACTTCATGCTGAAAATAACCATTGGATGTTTTCACTGAAACAGACCTGGAGAAGAGGACTTTGTATTTCTCAACATGGATATAAGCTGGAATAAGTCTGTTAATTTTTTCATCATGTTTAAAGTCTTACCATATCTCACTGAGATTCAATCCTATAGGCATGTATTCAACCAGTAATTAAAAACCAAGGTACTGTACTATATAAGATGTGCCTCTCTTGAGTTTCTGTGTAAATTCCTCGCATTTGGTCAAGTATAAGACTGTGTAAAAATCTCAATACACATACACCGAGGAGAGATTTATGTGAGTCATGCAGATACTTTAGCTGAGATACCATTTGTACTCACCAAAGTCTACTTCAGAACTCAGATATTCGGCAGGACTTTCCCTTTCAGTGCTACTTATGACTGTAATTGCCCCTCTTAGTGAAAATAAGATGATTTAATCTGTCAGAATTATCTGTCTGGTATACTGGTTAAGGCAAAGATCCCATAGAAAAATGGTGTAATCAATTGTGTAATTGCAATTGCCATAAATTAAAAAGATCAGTTAAAGGAATATAGATAAACTCAACAATTTGCTGATGTTTGAATACTCCATAGAGGAACTTGGAATTGTTTTTACTGGAAGAGGGGCCACAAAAGAATGCCCTAAGTTAGTTTTACACAAGCAATCTCAGTTTTTGGAGAGAGAATTTCTGTTAAGGAAGATTGAAGCAATGGCATTTCTGCATTGAGGAAGTAAAAGTGATTAAGATATCTCCAGAGCAATATATTGACAGTGAAATAATTTTAAAAATTTGGATCCAAATATATTTGTCTAAGTTTTTACTATAATTTTCTTTCCGTTTTCCTTTCCAGAGTGAAGTTTACTTTCCAAATCCATTTTCTTTTTTACAGTCAGCTATTTTCTGATAAGGCTTTGTGCTTGATTTTTACAAGCCCATTGACTTTTTGATCTTATGAGCTTTTTCTTGTAATATGTTCATACAAATATTTTGCCAAAGATTTGTCAGGAGCATGGCTTTTAGTTCTTAATGTTCCAGTACGCTTATCTGAACTGTGCAAGTTCAACATAGTTGGTTTTCTTACATTTTGGTTGCAAGTAGTGATCTTTTTTAAACCAAAAGTGAAATATGTGTGAGTACAAGGCCAAATTTAACCAAAACCTACATTTTTGTAAAGATTATAAAATGTCAGATATGCTACATACTTTGAGAAAAGGAAGCTGCTGTTATATCTACCTGATGCAGTCTGTACCCTTGATATATAGCCCATAGTTTACATTCTTTTTGATTAATTTTCCAGTCTATTTCAGTTATCTCCCTTCTGCTTTTCTATCCATTTCCATATAAAACATCGTTATTCCTCATACAGCGTGAGAGGCTTAGTCTCCTCTTGAATTTAATTTGCCTTGCATGGTAATGGAGAAGGTCTGGCATTTTCTTTCAATAACGTGACCCATGTGTCTTGATTTTCTTTGAGACATTGAAAACAGAGTAGAGCTTCCTGAATGGATGTAGATCAGGACAAAATTCATTTGAACTATGCTCTCATGACACTGATTACAAACTCTGCCAAGGTTCTGTAAGAGGGGAACAGAACAGTATTTGTGAAAGTACGTCCTACTCCTGTGTCTTTTTTCCCTGTGATTTGATTTCTTCTGGCAATTAAAAAGGTGAAACTCAATGAGTTTGGATTTTTTTAAAAGCCTTAAAATGCAGACACTGTTTTTGAAAGCCTGCTTAACTTCTGTGAAGCTCTAATTACTTCTTTTAGAAATGCTTTATTTTTGCATAGAGTCATAGAATGATTTTGATTGGAAGGTACCTTTAAATAATCATCTTTAAAGATCAGGATCACCATCTCTGTCCCCCATAGGCAGGGACCTCTTTCACTAGATCAGATTGCTCAAACCCACATCCAACCTGATCTTGAATACTTCCAATGATAGGGCATCCACAACTTCTCTGGGCAACCTGTTCCAGTGTCATTTTCATTTAAATCCTGTACAGATTACTGTACAGGAAGAGAGAACTGAGCATGCATATATGCATGTATGGTAATTACCCCCTGGTGCTCTCCCAGCCTCCAGCTATTTTCAGCTCAAGGGATTTCCTGAGCTCTTGTGATCGTCTGTTTCATATCCTTTAGTGGATCTTCCTTTCACGACTTCTCCGTTCTTCCCTTCAACCCTTGTACATTTCTCACATTCACAACATCCTTCGGAAAGATTTCGGTTTGTGTTTGGTTTTTGTTTTGGCGTTGCTTTTGTGGGTTTTTTTTTACAAGTCTTGCTGTCCATTACCTGAATAACCACCACCTTTTGCTTATTTTGAACCTGGTTCCCACCAGGAACCAGAGATTGATTCAATGATTGCACACACTTATTAGTAATTCAGCTCTTTCATCCTTGACTTCACACAAAACTCTTAAGTGAATACCATCTGGTCCTGGTATTTGTTTCTGTTCATTCTGTCTAGCTGTACTCTAGCCTCTGTCCATAGTTGCTTCAGAAGATAATTGATAATAAGGTAATACAATAGCAGGTTTTCCCCTTTTTTATGGGCATGGTTCTTGAGGACTTGGTAATATAGTAGTTTTCTCTTTTACCATTTTTTTTTTTTTCATTTGGCAATGGTTTAGATTGTGCTTTGGAGAAGTTTTTTAGTTATTTTGCATACAGTGATGGAATAACGTTACAAAAATATTAGAAGGCTGTAGCAAGATCATTGTTTCTGACACTTAAAAATCACTGGAGAGTTGCACACAGTAAAATAAATGCAATAAATGTGAAACATGAGAGTATACTGGAAAGTTCAAGCAGGTCAAATTCTGCACATTAAAATTAAGCCGGAAATTGAGATGCACTAATTATTTATCAGTTACATATCTTTTAATTAATTTTACCCACAGTACAAGTATCCATCTCATGTTTGACTTTTAAGTGGTACACCTGTAAATACACAAAACTGTCATACTTGATTTCTTTTCACCAGTGCTCAGTGAAAATCTGCTTTAATAAAAGAGGATATTCCCATTATGCTAAACTTTCATTTCACTAGATGAAAGCATATATTCTCAATTTCTTTTTCTACCAAATCTAGAAATTAGAATTTTAGAAGATGCTCCTAATTATGATGCTGTTCATCCTTCATTTTTCTAGTGTTTCACAAGGAAAGTCCAGTTGCTTCCAAGTAGTTCTAGTAATGTTTGTCCAGAGCTAGATTAGTTTACACTTTTTAGAAATAGATTTAGCATCCTCAAACAGAACAGGGTCTTCCCTACCACTCCACTCCAATCACCGCCAGTACTGCTTCTCCCCCCGCCTCCCCCGCAACTGCCAAACAATCTTTCTTCCTTTCATCAACTATAAACTTTGTGGTTTGTGTCAATTGAAACTAAAATAAAGTTACCATTGATCTCATCCAGAAGATCTGGTTACGGTCTGACAGAGTACTTAGCATGTTGATGTATGAACGTGCAAAGAATTTCAATTTAAACGTGCTACCAGTATTCAATAACTTGTACATACTATGTAATGCGTAGGTAGTGCCTGTATTGGATTTGTAGTTTGAATGTGTTGATCAAGCTTTTAATTTTTCAGAAGCCTTTCCAACAAGCAAAAAATAAGCTAACCAAGCTAACTTTTTGCTAGAAAACTTTGGAACACCCTGTCAATGTAAAATATGTTGAGATCTTTTAGATCAGAAAGACAGATTTGAATGCTAGCAATCTGGGAAGCCTGCCCTTCTAATGGAAAGAACACCAACCTCTTGTTTTTTGCCTCTTCAAAGTAATACATTTTCTTTTGAGATTAAATGTTAAGAAGTTGTAATCAGTTCTTCAAGAACACATTAAACAGAGAAATGTAAAGATTACAAATGAAAAAAAACCACATTAATATTGCCTTAGATTAAAAGAGGAATTAAATGAGGTGAAGCTAGACACCAGCTTTGGTATAGCTGGAGGTGCCACTGTAAAGACCAAAAAGAGCTAACAGATTGGTAAAAGCCGCTAGAATTGGTTTAGTATGGCAGATAATCTGTTGGGCTTTTAAAAAGATGAAGCTTTGTTGGTTTTCTTGGTTTATGAAAAAAATTATTATTATTTAAAATCTGAAAATATTGATAAATTGTGGGTGTGATACTATCCCTTGTTTGGAAGAGAAGATGAAAGTCTACTAAAGTACTAAAAAAAAAAGTAAGCAAGCTGAACTGACTTTTGCACACTTTGTGTTTGGTTTGGTTTGGTTTTTTTAATAGGTGAAATGAGGAATGATTTATATATCACTGTAGAAAGAGGAGAATTTGAGAAAGGAGGGAAAAGTGTGGCCAGAAATGTGGAAGTGACAATGCATGTCGTGGACAGCAGTGGTCAAATTTTAAAGGTATCTTTGTTGTATGTTTTTCCTTGCTGTAATTAATTTTGATACACTTTTTCAGATGGAAATCATCTTTTGTGGCATTGTTTAAAAGAGTACAAAATTGCTTTGGAAAGGTCATGTTTGTCTTTAGATATTCAAAGTATTTCCACTTTGCTTAAAACCTTTATAAAATGCGTGTTTGTTTTGTTTCTGTGATCCATTACATGATTCAGATAAACACCTGTAATTGCCAACCAAATAACTAATGATTCCATTAAAATGCTGGAAAATGTTGAAGGAAGATCAAGTTTTGGAGAATTTTTTATTTCATAATAATTCTTCTCAGTAGGTATGCATTTCTTCATGTTACACAGAATGTGTTTCGATCATTTTCAATTTTTTGTTTGATTTTAATAAATCAGAGGTCCTTGATGCAAAAATCACCACCGTGTATCAATAAAAGGATAAATGTTCCTTTTTTTCTTCAGATTTGATTGAATACTGCTGGTGATAGCTTACAAACTGGCACTGTTTTATATTTTAATTATTAATAGATGACTTTCTTAGATTTTTTTCTGTACTAAAAGATTTCTGTTCACTTTCAACCTTTTCCATACATATTTAACATCTTTTTTTTTCCTTTTCTCCTTTTTTCCTTTTTTTTTTTCCTTTGAAAGTACTTTTTTCACATGTTCTGCGTAATGTTGAGGGCTGTGGGGTAACAAAATGAAGAAAGGCTGACACAAATAGTCTGGTGCAAATTGTGTGCATGTGTGCATATATGTGAAGTGAGATTGTGCATATAAATGCATGACATGCAATGGATGTATGTTTTTGTGTATATAAGTATATATACATATGTGTGTGTATAGATCTCTTTTTAATATATATATACATGTAAAAAAATAAAGGATATTGAGATGCAAAGGTGATCCCTTATAATTGCAGAGAAGAAAAGCTACAGCTTACCTTTCCCACAGCGAATTAATAGGTATCCCCAAGTCAGGACTTAGAAAAATCCATTTGCCTACTTTGCTGTGGAGAGACCATCACGGGTGTTGTGAAGGCGACCAACACCTTGCTTCTTCCTAATCGGGGAATCCAGATTTCTTTCTTTTTTCATGCTGGGACATATCACTGATAACAGCAGGGTTACAGGCTTATTTCAGAGGACTAAAGATCTTGAGCCTGCGCTGTTCTTGTCTCAGTTACATTCTTGTTTGTTGCTTGGGCATAACACTGGATGGACCATGCTGAGTCATGCGACTCCATGTCACATTTGCTGCTTAAGCCTTCCTGATCACCCGGTTCCCCCTATATAATACTTTGATTCTCATTGATGTGGAAGATTCTTGCCATTTTTTCTAATCAGCAAATATTAACAAAGTGCTACTATTTTTGTGCGTTTAAAGATACTGAGCGTTATACCGCATGTGGCATTTGTGATATCAATATAAATATTAAATAGTCTTCCTCGTAAGAACAGTCCTTGATGACATCTTAAGAGTAAACTAATCTCTAATCAATACTTTTTCTTCATTAGGATTTTATCTCATTTGGCTCTGGAGAGCCACCAGCCAGCGAATACCATTCCTTTGTGCTTTATCATAACAATGGTCCCAGATGGGCTGAGCTGCTGAAACTTCCTATTCCTGTGGATAAGTTCAGAGGAGCACACATCCGCTGTGAATTCCGGCACTGTTCCAGTAAGTGCTGTTCACGACTTCTGCTAGTCCTCTCCATTACAGCTGCAAGTCAGCACATGAGTTTCCATAATACCTCAGGAAAAAGACAGCTGCGTGAACTTTCTTTAATGCTTTCATGACCCAGCTTCTCAGGCTTGCAGCTCTACTTGGTGGAACTCAGTGCTTTGGTAAAGCCTAAATACCAGGAGAAACCAGTCTAGTTTTATTAAATAGAAATAGACAACATTGCAGCTGCAAATGTAAACAGAATTTCAGGTAAACTCAAAATGCAGATTTAGAATTTACCTGGGGAATTATCCAAAATTATACCTGTTCCTCCATTCAACCAATGGGAAATGTATCTAGATACATCATGGTCAATTAACATCACTTTTGTATTGCTTTTTTTTTTTTTTCCCACTTACAAAATAAAATTCAAAAATTCTCTAAACATTCTGAACAATTTTAGAGATTATTTTGAGGTAAAAATTGAGGTCTGGGTCCACGCTCTGCACACCAAGGTATGCGAGACAGGTTTCATAGCTATGGCGCTGACTGCTGTCAAGCTTGTAAAGAAAGGTGGATACAATTGTATGTCTTTTAAACTGCTGCTGTTTTTGGCTCTTTTTGGTGATGTAGATATAGCAAGATTTGATTATTTAGATTGCCTTTGTGGAAAGTGGCACACACAATAAGTTATAGTATATTTAGATTTCGGGCACATAAACTTCAAAATGTAAGGAACAGGTAATACAGGAAGAAATTTGCATTGATTTCTTTTTAAGATTTCTTTTATAAGCTATGAAGTAGTAAAGGAAAAACATCAGTGGTATGTTTCAAACAGATGATACATTTTTGCACAATCTTTCCCATGCAGTGCAAGTTGGATATTTTTGTTATGATTGCCTACACCACCTCTACTGTGCTAAACCCGGACTCAAACTCATATATATACATATTTGATGAAAAATTGGTTGATTTGCAAAAGTGTTCAGCGTCTGCAGTCACTGGCTTCAGTAAAATCTGAGCCATCTCAGTGTTTTGTAGTCTGCTTTATATTTAGGTGATAGATGAGTTTTGGAATTTGAGCTTAGGCATCCAAGTTTGAAAAGGTTATCTGCTGTCTAAAATTCATGTAAGGAACAGTGACATCTTCATTCATATCTATAAAGGAAGATGCCATATTTGAAAATAGAAGTGCAGTGTAGCCTGAGGCTGACCTAAAATGGAGACCAGTAGTAGAAGCTACTATAGGGGATAATTGTCACAAAACCCCCACTTTTCTCTTCATGTTGGACTAGTTAGGTGACATTCATTTGGGTTTCCTGGCATTCTGTATATTGCTAAGACTGCATATTTGGTGGCTTCCATTATTTGTTGTTAATAAAAACCGAATCATTCCAGAATACTGCTTTCTGATTTACAGTGAGATAAAATAAACCATTACAAGAGATAATGTGCAAATCTGAAAAGAAATCTAACATAATCTTAGTCTGACTAGCTGCAAATAGCTTCCAGTATACTTTTTAATGTTATATTACATCCATTTATTTTGTCTAAAATGTATAATATTAAGTGCTGCTATTTACGTATGTATTTCAGCGAAAGAAAAGGGTGAGAAGAAGTTGTTTGGTTTTTCTTTCGTGCCTCTGATGCAGGAAAATGGGAGGACTCTGCCAGATGGCACCCATGAACTCATTATACACAAGGTAATTTGAATTAGTAATCATTAGCTGTAATGATTCCTCTGGAACATACTTTAAATGCCCGGAAACAGTAGGTTAAGAAAGTCTGTATTCATTACCAAATGAGTGATAATCTTGTCACAATTAAAATATCCATTGCTGATTGTTTAATATTAAACTTCTTGTTACAAATTGCAATTGGATCTAGATATGTGTTTCAGTGCACTGGTTTTACTAAGTCTTTCTATTATATTACAATGTATTTATAATGGATTTCACAAAGTTAAGTTCAATTAAAACACACAAAGTGAACCCCATTATACCCTCTTAGTGAATTGCTGAAGTTAGAAAATCAAGCAAGCTCATTTATGTAGATCTACTCAATCTTATAATTTTTAGAGATATTTCATTTTTGTGGAATTTTTGTTTCCACATTTAACAGTTATCTCTTCAGTTCAGGGGATTTGATATGCTCACAGATAAATTTTAGATTTTAACACCAAAATTTATAGCTATTCATTTGACATAACCTGTGCAAATTTGTTAGACTTTAATGTCAGATATGCAGCTATGATCCAAAAACAAAGTTGCCACAGGCATAGTGAAAATTTTTCAATTTCTGGCAGAGAAACAGTAATAATTCATATAATTTAGGAATTTGGTCCTTCGTTTTTATGCAGTACAGTTATTTTATCTGGTTTGTTTTCACAGTGTGAAGAAAACACAAACCTTCAGGATTCTGGTCGCTACCTCAAACTCCCCTTTTCAAAGGGAATTTTCCTAGGAAACAACAACCAAGCAGTAAAAACCACTAAAGAGTCCTTCTGGATTACGTCCTTTCTCTGCTCCACTAAACTCACACAAAATGGTAGGATATGTTGATTATTTAAAACATGATGAATTCAAATGAGTGTGATAGCTAGCCTTTTCAGTGCCAAGCAAGCATGGATATACTCAAAAATAGCTCATGTTCTATCCATTTTACAAACTGGTTTTCTTTGTAATTTTTTATATCCAGATGGAAACCAATGCAGCATGATAAACCACTGATTTTAAGTAGTTCAAGAATGCTTTTTAGATTAACATGATATTGGAAACAAATGCAGCTCTCTTGGAATCAACTATCAAAACCTAGCTGCTTTACAAAACTTCTTAATCTGTTTGTTGTAGAGTTTTTATGAAATACTTATTGTAAGCTTTAGGCTGTGGCAGTTTGGTTTTAATTAGGCGCATATTGCTTTTTTGTTGTATCACTTCTCTTCCTTAAAGCCAACAAACGTTTACTACTACTTAAAACAATCTTATACACTGGATATAAGGAGCAGCAGATAGAAATACATGTGTTTGCGGTCTTTACCATTGCTCTGTATAAAATTCTTAAGATCTTGTTTATTTGCCATATTAACTACAGTTTGTAACTGAACAGTTTTCCACAAATTTCTAAATATTGTGTATTATGTATTGGTAATGTGTTTCTGACCATTCTTTGATATCCCCACAGTTTCATATTACTTTTTCTGAGCTGTTTATCACAGTTTTAAGATCTTGCTTAGCTCTCGTGTGTGAATGACTATGTCTTTACCGTTCTTATATGTATGATGATAAAATTGCTAATTGCTTTCAAATTGATTATAGGTGTATAACAACAACTAGAGCAGCTTTTTAAATTGAAATAATCGTCTTAATTTTCACCATTTAGTAGCAAGTGTCCAAAATAGAACTATGTGCAAATAATAAGTGGTCTGTTTCACTATGCACATCCATTCTGTATTCTCACAGCAATTAGCTTCAAAGTAACAAAAGTTAGCCAGTAAAAGATTTTCGCAAAGGTTGCTAGTAGGCAATCAGAGACTAAATTTGCTTCAGTTAAAGGCCTTGATTTAGGAAATCACAAGAATCTACTGGTACTTACACATGCATGAAAGCGCTGCCCGGAACTTAAGTGTCTCAGTGATAAATAGTTGCACTATTGTCTGGGGTTATAATACTAATTTATGTTGACAGTCCAGGAGTTATTTTGTACTTCATGTAAATAGATGTGTGACATAGGGCATAAAATTTCCTTTTTTTTTTAACCATATTCTGAGTAAGAGGGTGTAGAATATCTGAATAATATTGATCCCCTTTTCAGCTCTGAAAGAGTTAACAATTATTTCAGCAGTACTTCAGAGGGTGGAAATATTTTCAATAGACAGGCTCATATTTTCTCCAAGGATCTTCTTTGGGAAGTTCATCTTGGTGAGTTTCCAAATCCCCATTCTTTTAAACAAAAATTTGCCAAAACCTATTGCATGCTCAGAAAATGAACATAGAGCAAAGCATGTGGATATTTGGTCATGTGAGCATTACTTCAGTTATCCCTGAGAGAATGTAGCATATTTATTAAAAAATACAGGAGTAAAAAGATCTGTATATTTACTTTTTCAGTAAACATTTGTATTAGTATTTTTGAAAATTGCTGATTATTTTTTAATCTGTTTTTAAGTTTGGAGATTTTTCTGAAGTTCTCAGAGATCTGCCTGTGTCTACGAACAACAATGTCCAGCCTGGAAATGAATTGAAAATTATGCTATTGGTCTTGCCATGGGGTGGGGAAGGACCCCAGACCCAGACTTGTAAAGGGTGTGACTGAATTAGGCCACAGCTTTACTAGCTTGCTGGGAAATTTTACTCAGCTGTCATTCTCTCATTGATTGTTCCCACATGCCATCAGCTCTCATGCATATTAAAATTATGGGGACTGGGGGAAGGAGGCTGACTCCCAGTTGTTGGGATCCATAACTTCCTTACCCTGGGTACTTTGGAGGGGTTTGCAGGACTATTTCCAAATAATTTGCAGAGACCTTCTAACCAGGGAGTCTGTGCGTTCATCAACATATCTCATAAGAATGCGTCCTTATCTAATCTGTCTGCCAATTAGCCTTGCCTTAGCTTGACTTTTGATCCTGGATTGTTAATCAGTTAATGTTATCAAAAAAGTATACCAGCTTTTATATATTACATTCTTAACTGGATAGTTGTATTTCATTATCCTAAAAAAACCCAAAAGAGCAAGACAGAACATAGTATTTTTCTACTGAGTAGTTATCAATATAGTCTTACTTAGTTTTTGACACATAGGAGGGATCTCTGCCTGCCAGAGACTCAGGATCCATCCAGGAAGTCAGAATATTTTAGCAAGTTGGCATCCACTCATTTCTCAGCACTGATCAGTACATCCCTAGTAAGCAGCTGTTCATCAGCAGAGCAACATGCCACACAGCACATCTATTGCAAGGCAGAGGTGTAATCCATCTATCTGCATTTTAAAAAAGCCAAACTGGTGATTAGTAAAACAAAAGTAACAGGGGGCAGCTTTCCAGAGTGACCCCGGTTTGGAGGGAGTGTTGGAAACCACAGAAGCAGCCTGTTCGAATAGGAATGCAGACTGCCAGTTCTGGAATTTGGCTTTTTACTTTCGAAGCGATTAGTGCTACACCAGGCCAGTTTCTGATGTCTCAGGATTTATAGGAGAGAAATGGAAAGATCATCCCAAACCACTTCCTTATACACATGATTCTAAACCTTTTCTTAAACCTAGTACTTTGGATTTAAATTATGGACTTTGAGAAGGGGAGTGTTTTGTTTCCTAGGAATGGTAGGTCAGGTGTAGCCTATTTTTAGCATACAAATCTGATCATGAATAAGAGAAGGCTTTGGAAATGTTTTTCTTCTTCAGCAAAATTTATCATCAGCATTGACTTCTTCCCTTTTCCAAAAGTATGTTTTCCTAGTGGGCCTATTTTGGGGGACAATTTTATATTCTCATTTTTCTTAATACATGACACATTGCTATCCCTTCCCCTTGTGATTCACATGTCAGATTTTCTATTCATGTCATTTATGCTTGGGCTATTTGCTAATGTTATCTCAGCAATGTCTTTCCTTCTTAGCATTTTCCTTGAAATAAGTGCTTTGAAGTCAGTGTCTGACATTTGCTTTCCCTTTCTATTTTAATCCCCCAACAAATCCCTAATATTGAGTGTCAACTGTCTTCCCACCAAGTTCCTCCAGCAAACCTGTATAGAAATATTTTTCCTGCTATAAACTGACAGCTTTAGCTAGTCTTGCTACTCCTCAACTTAAATTGAGGCTTAAACAGAATAAAGTGTAGAAGTCCATTTAATTATCCAAAAGACAAATGCAGTTCACTGGATTTGTAATGCTTGTTTCTTGAAAATTCCTGACAGAAGGAATAATAAGACATATCATTTGTCCTTGATCTTTGGGATCTGATGCATGTGTGGGACCCTTCAGCACTCTTAGTGCAACTCAAGGATCTCTTTTAATCCGAATCATTCCATACTAGCATAAGGTGAAGCAAAACAAAAAAGAAACATAAAAATGCATTAAAACAATTTGTGCCCACCAAAATCAGTTCAGGCAGCAAAATATTAGTGGAATAGCATGTAGGGTGTTTGCTGTTAGCGCCTCTGGCGAGATTTGAATATAGGTGGAGATTTATTTAATGTTATTAAAGACAGAAATACTACTTTGTTTCTTGTTGTGGGAGAGAAGAGTTTTCCTGGAACAAACTGGGAAAGAAATGACACAAAGATGGGTGTGGCTCAAATGTTACTTGAGTGTGAAAACAGTCAGTGGTAGAAAGCACCCAGTTAGTTGCTGAACCAAAGAGGAACACTTGCTATTAGCTACTTAGTTTTATAAGTACTGAGAACATTTCAGAAGAACTGGATCCTTCTAAGACATTGCTGGAGAGTGATCAACTCACTAGACCAGTGGTTCATCTTAAACTGATGGAAGGATTGGACAGTGATTAAGGTTTTCTGCTTCAAACAACCAGGCTTTGAGAATTTCTGAAAAGCTGGTTAGTGAAACGTGGAAGTAGTAATCGTGAATGTAAAGGAGCTTTGGGATTTATTTAATTCAACGGTTCAAAAATAGGTGGAACTTTGTGCTCTGAATACAACTTGAAAGGAGCACTGCAGACATGAGCGAGTGAGTCACGGGCAGAAAATGTGAGGATTAAACAGAGAACCTGCAACAGAAGGGAGAAAAATAACAGCAACGTGTCAGAGTTCAGCAAGGGTCAGGATCAAGTGAAAACTGCTGAAAAGCCAAGCCAAGTTTTCAAAACTCTGTTTTAGGATATTGGATGGTTCAGGACATGAAATTCCCAATCTCATAGCAAGGTGTTTTTTTTAGTACATATCTGAAGCTGAAAGCAATAACACATGACCTAAGAGTAATAAATATAGTACCTACATTTCAGACAGGTGGAAGAGCAGATATGTTAACTGGGCCATCACCCTCTGATGAATTTTATGCAAATATTTACAAGAAATCATGGATGAAAAAATGGACATGTAGCTAAATGGAATGTGCTGTAAGATGAATTTATCAAAGACATATCATGCCAGAATAAACTTCTTAATCTTTCTTTTCGAAGTTTTTTTCATTATTATTCTTCAGAGGAAACGTAGCAGATCTAAACCATCTGGACTTCAATAATGCACCACATGGGAAATTAGAAAAGATACAGATTAGAATAAGAATTTTAAAACTGGTAAATAAGGGCTAAAAGAGAACTAGCAGGTTGCACTGTAAAGGAAGGAATTTCTTTCCTGAGTGGAAGGAAAATACTACTAGAGCTGAAGAATTAGGCCTGGGATTGATCTCTTGTTTGGAGGGGTGGAAGGGGATGGGGATGGGAGCAGCTTCACTAAAACTTGAGACACTAGAGAGTCTCTTAATGAAATTTGCTGCTAACATGTAGTTGAAAGGGCTCATCAGTTGAGAGGGACAAAATCAAAATCTGATACAGGCAAAACAAGGTAACTTTGATTTAAACAATTAATAAGAAAGAGTAGAAATTAGATCAAATCTGATGGTACAAAAGGCAGGATCATGCCCTAATGGAGACTCTTGGGGATTCTGCTCTAGTCAGGGAGCTGAACAGTATTAAACAGGAGAAAGACTATTTGTGTCACCAATATGATGTATCTAAAAAAAACCCCAAATTCTAGAACATATATGTCAGGTGCTTACAGCAGACGTATGAGCTTGCTAATGATATAGAAAACAGTGATGTAATCTCATCTGTAATGTAGTTACCATTTTGGTCAAGAAAGCTGAAGGAGAATTAATTAAAATTGGAGGAAGTGCAAAGACACTCAGTTATGTTTTAGCTCAGAAGAGTTTATTTTCCAGAAGAGATTATGTTGCTTATTAATAAAGCAGGATCTTAGAAGCATTGTGTTTGTTCTCTAAAAAGACATAGGAAGATGAATATTTTAAATACATACAAACTAGTAATTAGGAGACTATTTCTAGCTGTCAAATGACAGCTCTGGAAGGCATCCTTCAATGGGGCAAGAGACAGCAAAATAATTCCTTTTCTTAAGATGGTAGTTGACAAATATCTGAACAAGATTGCATTATATATTTGCAACAGGAGACCAATTTTAGTGACCCAGTACCATGTTCTTATGTTTCTATTGGTGGAGCAATTATGGGATGGAATGAAAATTTGTTGTTGGGCAGATCATATTATAGCAAATCTTGAGATGTTTTCTTTTGTTTTAATGAAGCCAAGTTTTGCTGAGTGGACTGTAATAGTAGAATTTAAAATCTGCAATGCTGCTTTGCTTCCAGCTTTAATCTTGCATTTTGTTTTTGCAGGAGATATGCTTGACCTTCTGAAATGGAGAACCCACCCAGACAAAATTGCAGGTTGCCTCTCAAAACTAAAAGAAATTGATGGTTCAGAAATAGTGAAGGTATATACCATTCTATCCTTTGAGATAATATGAGGGAAATAATATATTTGTGTGTCACAAAAATACCCATTTAATAACACACTGTCTCTTACTCTCTCCTATCAGTTTCTTCAAGATACACTAGACACTTTATTTGGGATTTTAGATGAAAACTCTCAAAAATATGGATCAAAAGTATTTGATTGTTTGGTAAGTGTCATTTTGTGTTGATGCTTAAGACTATTTAAAAACTAAGTAAGAAAAAAAAAAAAAGCTTTTTTTTTCCTTTTTCTCTCACATTTAGGTTCACATAATAAATTTGCTGCAGGACAGCAAGTTTCACCACTTTAAGCCAGTAATGGACACTTACATTGAAAGTCATTTTGCAGGAGCACTTGCATACAGGTGAAGTCTGTACTTTTTCTATTTGATTTGAATACTGACAGTTATTAGTAAACTAAGCAGAATCAATCATTAGGTTAAATTAAACGGTATCATTAGAAATAAAATGCAATGCTTATGTGAACGCCCAGATTTAGGCCATTAAAAAAGAGTAAAACAGCTTTAAGTTACCTGAAAAGTTACTTGCTAATGCTCTGACATTGGCTTCATTTTTAAATCTTTTTCTTCGGTGGATTTTTTAATTTGAATTACTTTAAAAAACATAGGAGCCTTAACATCATCCACCTGCAACTGTGTCACTGTCTGTGTAGAGCAGTGCACTAATAAGCATCATTTATTCTGCTATACTCTCTGTATTTATTTGCCACCTAGACTTCCATTAAAACCAATGCAGTTTAATGAGACTGCAAACCGATGCATGGAATAGCAGGGATAGTCCATGATGGCAAGGACTCTTCTGGCTTAAGTGAGCTTATGTATCCCTGTCAAAATCATTCTACTGCATATGTAATGCTGGTGGTATTTCCTGTTCGTTAGAGATCTACTAGGTGGCTTTCAGCAGACTGAAAACTAAGTCTAATATTGGGCCTCTAGTGATTAGCGAAATCTAGTCACATATTTTTCCTTTTTGTCAGTGTTTCTCATATGACAGATACTGGTTTGCATTTTAAATGCAAAGTTAACCCTTGTCCCACTTCTGTGTTATAATACTTTCTGATGTGGTATTCTAGAGATCTTATAAAAGTACTGAAGTGGCATATTGATCGAGTCACTGAAGTGGAGCTGCATGAGCACATACAGGAAGTACTAAAGGTAATAAAAATCGTCGAAGGCAATTATATATTTGAATGATGTATTCATACAGTACAAACAGGTTTAACTTGGGAAATGAAGTAGAGTATGTATAAATGATGGAATGGTAGTACTAATTCTAGGGAGTTGCAGACCCTTTCAGTGCAGTCAGTTTATTCATCGTTCTCTTTCGTCAGTAAGTTGATCAATGGAGCTTACTACCACTAGACTCTGGAGCTCTATGTTCTGTACTGAATGAGGATATACATGAGTAAGAGTTAGATCTCAGAAATCAAATGTAGATTGCATTGGTGGTATTAACGTCTGTTGCATAACTGAGTCTAAATGGCAGACATGCATGCTGACTTAATGGTTCCAACCTGACACCGGGGAATTCTACTAAAAATGGTGGTTTTGGTTGCTCTTGTTGTCCTGTTTTGTACCATCAACAAAGCACAGCGTGGAGTCAGACTGAGTTGTACAACAAAATAATCCCATTTGGGACAGGTGTTACAGTCTGGAAATAAAATATCAACATGGTACGCTTCTGTGCTTTTCTATGCTGCTGTTAACTTAGGTGTCTTGCTAATAAGAAAGGGCTGTATTTTTAATTTATGTTCCAACAGTTTTGCAACTTAGTGTAACCTTTTTTTTTTTTTTTATTATGTGGTTAACAGTTGACAGGGAAACAACTTTTAACAGGCAGAGAAATTCTAAGAACAGCTCAAAAGTTTGAGCCTATTCTTATATTGGCCTTGTATGTTTATGCAGTATGTGTTTTTGTAGCCAAAGATGTGCAAGGGATGGGGGGGCAGTGTTGAGATTTTGCAGTTTTCCATTTGCTAAAAAACCAAGTGTTCCCTGGTTTGTAGAGATTATGAAAGGCAAGGGAAGACCATTTCTGAGTTTGTGCTTTTGAAATGTTGTTAGTGTTTCAATAGAAAGATTTGCCAGTATTAAATAACATGGTGTCCTGTTTCAGACACTTGTCATTATTTGTATTATATAATTTTTGTGTGTGTTCTATTTAAAGATCAGCTGGTTCATTTTTATGAGCTATCTCTGATTTTGACATTTGTAGGCACAGGAATATATCTTTAAATATATAGTCCAGTCTCGAAGGTTATTCTCTATTGCCACTGGTGGACAAAATGAGGAGGAATTTCGCTGCTGTATTCAAGAGCTGCTTATGTCAGTACGCTTCTTCCTTTCCCAAGAGAGCAAAGGAGCTAGTGCTTTATCTCAACTACAAGTAAGTTTTCAAGCATGCCTTGCTTATTGCCACTTTCCATGTCCAGTATAGAAGATGTATGCGTGTCCTTACCTATATTCCCAGGAAAGAAGATGTGTTTTTGCTAGAGCAAAATGGCATTTTCAGCTCATCCTCATACCTTTTGTCCTATAGTGTGAAATTTTCATATCAGCAGCTTCTAAATATGCTTGGCAAAGATAATCCTAAATCTAATATTTAATTTTGAATTATAATTATATTGCTGGATTCAAATAAAGTAATTTCTCTGTTTTGGGCATTTTACAGCTTAGTTTAACCACATTGGAACTGAAGAATTTGAGCCATACAAAAGACTTATCAGAGTTTTCATGCTTTATAGAAATTTTTTAAGTCTTGCTTAACTGTATCTTTTAATACGCAGCTGGTAGCTTTATTTCAATTGAGACTACTAAAATTGACTAGTGATAAAGCACAGAGGCAAACGACACAGGAGACAGCTCTCTACATTAAGTGCTATAGATTTACCAACTTCTACAGCTTATAGATATAC